AAAAAAAAAAAAAGAAACAACCTCAGTTCCTGTGCCTCTTTGAACCTCGTGGGACTAGCAGGTTGGCAGGTAAACCCTGAAGTCAGACAGACACTTGGTCTGGCGTTGGTTCTCCACCAGGTGCTTCTGGAAAACTGAGAGGCTTTTCTAGTTCTTGCAGTATTTGGGGAGTCTCATCGACACTTAGTGCTTTAGGGTCCAGGATTGTAAATGTCCTGCAAAGCCCTGACAGTGACCTGTCCCACCCAAGATGTCACCAGCACACCACTGAGAAACCCCAGAGGGAAAAGCAGCCTGCTGAGAACGAGGATGCATAGTGGGTTCTCGTCTACGAATTCCATGACCTTGAGTGAAGGACTTGATTTCTCTGCTCCTCCATTTCCTGAACTGGAGAGGGTGGCTGCCTTTTCCATCAACCTGCAGCACTCTGCGAGCAGAAAAGGAGGTGATGAACCTCTTTGTAGACTGTTGGGCACCACACAGACTCCTACAATGAGGTTATCAGGCAGCTCGAGGCCACCACTCTCTGCTCCCATTACTGGGGCTTGACAGGTGTGAGGTGGTGATTCTGGGTAATAGTTTCTGCCCCAAGGACCTACATTTGCTATTGGAAGGTCACTCTCAATTCAAGTCTTGAGGGGAAAATTAAGAAACTGATTTTTGCCCCATCTAGATTTATCACTAAAGCTGACATTGCCTGACTGCTCTGTCCACTTGTCAATTGGCTCCAAACTCACTTAAGTGGACTTAAGTGACAGACACTCCTGGGACCACAGCCATTGTGCCCCCACACAGATCATAGTGACCTTCTTGGGTGCGTCTCTGTCCTGGACTCTTGGGCTCCTGGAGACTGATGTCATTTTACGATTCTTGGCATCCACCAACAGTGGGTATATTGCCAAAGGCCTAATAAATGTTGTAGCCATTCATCCATTCATTAAATCATTTGGAGACAGAATGGCTAGTGTTCTGTGAGGTTACTCCAGAAGGCTGAAGAAAGGTTGGGGAGGAAAAGACAGCCACGCCTGGGGAACTCTGGGATGCCAGGCTACTTGGTCCATGTAGAGAAAAAGAGACGTGGCCCATAATAGCACGCTTTCAAGCCTCGCTGGCAACTCCAGGTTGGTGTCAGGGCTCCTAGGAAAAGTCTGGGAGCTGTCGCCTTGGTCTGCTTAGGGCCCTGGCACATGACAGAAGCCACAGGCTATAGGCTCTTCACCCCAAAAGTTATGTGCCCTGCAGACAGGTTTCAGGAGCCTGTGTGGCAGCCTTCAAAGGGAACAGAGGGAGAGACCATTCAGTGCCCAGCAGCAGAAACAGAGAAATGACACCATCATTAGCCCACTTGGATGCCCATCAGCAAAAGGCCTCAAGTTGGTCTTCGGTTCTCTGAATCCCAAGACAAACTGGGCCCCCTAGCTGACCCTTCTAGGACCCTCTTCAGCCCATGCCCTCCTGAGATCCTTAGAGCAATTTTCAGTTCCCAGCTAGCCTATTTGTTCTTGGATATCTCTTTCCATTCAGGCTGGAAAAAACCAGGACACAGGAAAGGAATGGCCCAGAGGCAAATGTGGAAGCTGCCTCTATTCCTCGCAAGCACCAGGGAACAGTGGGCTGCTTCTCCAGCCTCTACAGCCAGCACCCACTCCAGGATTCACATTTGCAACAGGCATTGACATTTGCAGCCACACAGTCCCATGAGGAGGCCACTCCTGGCCCCTGGCTCTTATCTCTGCTGTGGGCCTAGCCAGCCTTCCCCAGTTTACCTGGAATAAGAACCGGGGGCCTGTAGACCACAGCTCCAGCCTCACAGTCCCAGGCTTCTCCCCCACCTGGTCACCAGGCTGCGGCCTGCCACACAGCTCCACAGATGCCCCATGGCATGGCAGGCCAATAAACATGGGCGTTCTCTCCCCACCTCACCCCGTCCTCACTGAGCACAGCCAAAGGGACAGCGGGGACCTAGTGCGGGGGTCGGGGACTACTGCTCTGAGTTCTGGAGGCATGAATTCAGGGGAAGGAATGTGGGTCCCAGGAAATGGAAAGGGCCAGAAAAGCCTGCAGGGTGCCACGGGGTGAGCTTAGGGAACAAGCTCTTTGAGCTGTGACTATGCTAAAACCCATACGGGACCCCTATGCTGAAAAACCCAAGTCCTGAAAGTCAGTCTCCTGGCCTTTCCCTCCCCTCTACCATTTTCCTGCAGCTGAAACGCCACAGGGCAGAGGACATCTGAGCTTCAGTTCCACTTCGCAGGCCTCAAGGGAATCTTGGACTCGAAAGAAAACTCTGGAGGTCACCTCCGCCACCCCTGCCTCAGGGCAGGAAAGGAAAACGGAAAGGGCCTCAACGGCCATGGGAGCGGGCGGAGGAAAAGCCGGGTTTGCCAACACTGTGCCGAGGACGGGTCCTCAATGGGGACGCTCGGGAGCTGGGCCTGGCTGATGGCGTGTGGCCCATGTGCGGTCTGAGGCCAGATGAACTGCAGCCGAGGGCTCCCGCGCAAAGTAGCTCGAGGATGGCTGAATCAAAGGAAACCGATACCGCGCATTAAAAGCCGGCGTGGCCTTTCAGGCTGGCTGGGGAGACGGCTCCAGCCCCCTGCGCAGCTCCTGGCCTCCTCCTCTCTATGCTCTCAGCCCTGAACTTGCCTCGAACTTGAAAGGGCTAATTAAAGCCAAAAGAAAAATCAAAAGCTCGTTATCTGGCTCCATTACTCCAGTCCTGGCATTGGCCTGTCTTGCAAAGCCGTTTTCCCTCTGTTCTCCTCGAGGCCACCGTGCGGTATCAGGGCCTGAAGTTCTGCAGACTTCCACGATGAACTTGGCTTTTTGTATTGTGGCGGGAGCAAGGCTGGGGTGACTCCCGCTCGTGGGCAGCCAGGCTGATCCCTGCAGCTGATTTTACCCCCCAAAGCATCTCCTAAAAAGGGTTCGAGCAAGTTTTCTATAGAAAAGTGTCAACAGGAAAAATTGCCAATTGCTCTGAAGTTGCCTAGCAAGCACACAGCATAAACTTACCATTTTCTTATCTAGGGTATATATGTGCATGTGCACGGGGGTACTTATTGTGATGTGCACACGTGCACATGTGTGTATATGTGTGTGCATGTGTCCACGTGGGTGTGTGTGGGTGTGGTAATGAGAGGCAAGGAGATCCTCCTCGAGGCTGTGTCTGCCATTGACTCACAAGATGTGTGACCTTGAATAATTCATTCACCTTGTTGGGCCTTGGAATCAAAGTTTAGACCAGAGTATCTCTAAGGGCCTTCCTCATACCAACTTTCCAATGCATCTCCCTGGGGGCTATGTTTGAGTGTGTAACACACATACACACAGCACAGCATCTGGACTGTCATTTATTGCCTTCGTTTGGGAGCAGTCATGGGCCCCCGAGTTCATAAGCCTGTTTCATAGACTCTCCTGAGTGAATCTGCTACTGCCTCAAACTGAAGCCTCCAAAGGATATGTCACCTGCTAAGGCTCAACGGACACAGTAGAGCCCCCTCGATTCTCTGGCCCGGCAATGACTGTCAATTTGTCGTTACTTGTTTTGGCCCATAGTACCTCTCCCACTTCCTTTGGGATGTTAGGGGTCTCCGGGTTTTTCAAGTCTTCCAAAGAAGAATAACATCTTTTAGTTTCAACCCAGGTACCTGGAAAACTCACAACCGGAAAGCAGCCTGAGCCTAAATGTCAGGGCACCAAAGACAAACTTTGCTGAGTTCCTTCTTTCTCCTCCCCCTCCTCTACCCCCACTCCAAATCCTAGTGACCAGAGTACTGGCCTCACCACAGGCTGGGTGGGGTGGGTGCCAGTTCCCTCTGAGACCCTTGTGGCCATATTTTATAAAGAGAAACTTACACTTTTTTAAATCAACCCAAATACATTTCCTAAAATGGAATTGCACCAAAGTTTGACTACGAGTCAAGAATCCCATCCGCGCAGATGCAACTTCAACCTGATGGGTGAATTCCCCTTCCCTCTCCTACATTATGATTACAGTATAGATTTTCTTAAATTAGGTTTATAACATTTTAATTGGACAATAAAAAAAGAAAAAAGGGAAAGAACAGTGACATAGGGCTTAGAAGATGCCAAAAGCTGAGCCTTGCAAGTCTCTTAAAGAATGATGGAGAGAAAAGTGGACCATTTTAAAGAAGAACAGAAGTCAAGCCACAGAAAAGCAGGTGCTTTTCCTGTTGGGTCACAAGTGAGTTAGGTTGTGTCACCTGTTGCACCTGTAGCCTCCGAGCAAGGCAGCAGCCTGAGGGACAGACTGGAACCTCAGGCTCCACGGGCCTTGGGTCGGCATCCTAAACCAACCCTTCATTCTCTCCTTCCTCTGGTTTCCTGTCACCCTGAACTCTTTCCTGGCTGCTCACTGACTTTGTGATTTTGTGAGCTGTGCATGTAGAAGATGCTTAATAAATACTGAACTCACTTTTCTAAGCAAGTTCTGCTTTCCCTTCTATGTTCACTAGACTCTCACTTTCTTTAGACTTCTGCTTCCATTGTTCCCTTTTCTAAAGACACGCAAGAGGCTAAAAACATGGAATGACTGGCTCCATTACTCCCAGCAATGGTTTTGTTCTAAGCTCCCAGGATAGTGATTCACAGGCTTCGTTGGTAAGAAGGGTGGGTACGTGCCTTGTCCTGCAGCACATTATGACTAGCCTCCCACAGTGCCTGGTGACACCCGTGTAACACAATTCCTGCTTATTCCTAGCACTCCCTCCTATAACCAGCAAGCCAACATGGAATAGAGAGGTGTCCTGATAGGAAATCCAAGTTTCAGTTCCAGCTCCGACTCTTACAAGCTCAGTTTCATAGTCACAGCGTGTTTGAGCCGGTGATAATTTGGGTCCAGTGGGACTCAGAGCCAAGATATACTTGTCCCACCTGCAAACTGGAGTGTGATCACACCACTTGGAGGTCACGGGCCAGGGTCCTCCCTCCACACCTCACCGTGCCAGCTCGCGTGCCGCCCCCACCCGACTCACCGCACTGCTGCAGGGGATGTCCTTCACCTTGAGCCAGGCCAGGTCCAGCGTGCCCTCGCCCCGGTAGCAAGATTGCAGCCTTTCCTTAATGCGGTCGTTGATCTGCTTCAAGATGAAGATGCACAGAGCCGACTCATCCAAGGATTTCATTTTCCGCTTCTGCCCTTTGGAGAAGACAGTGAAGAGGAGGTCGTCCTCTGGGCGGACTCCGAGGGTCCGGGCGAGCACGGCCCCCGCTTTGGACAGGTATGCGGCCTGCAGCAGGCGGTACTCCACCCCACTGCGCTCACAGCCAATGGGCACCTCCACGTAGGAGTTGAAGGCGGTGTCCTCCTTGCAAAGCCTCACGAGCTTAGATGTATAAACCTGCTCCTTTGTGGTGGAGCCTGGGGGAGACACCATCTCGGGCTGCAGGGTCAAAAAGTAGACAAAATTGCCACTGCTGAAGCCATAGACATAGTAAATATCGAAGTCGGGGATGACGGTGAAGGTATCCGAAGGGATCTTAATCATCGAGGCCACAAACTCGTCGTGGAAGACGTACGCGAACATGCCATCCGCTTCTGAGTTCTTGGTCAACTTCCTGCTGGAGATGGTGGGGAAGTACTCTGGTTTCCCATCCACCGCCGTGGCAATGAAGAGCTTGTCGTCCAGGTTGCTGTAGGAGACGATCACTCCAAAGACAGAGCCGCTCTCGTTGACTCCCGACAGGTAGTGCTCCTTCTTGTGAAACGGCTCCCCCAGCTTGAAGAGGTCCTCCAGCCTCAGGAGCTTGCAGATGCCTTGATAGAGACTCCCACACGCAATCAGCCTGTTCTCCTTGTAGTCTATCAGGAGCATCTTGTTGACATTGTTGGTGGTGGTCAGGGGCTCATGGCACGTCTGGACGATGCGGGGTGGGTAACATTTGGGGTTGTCCTCGTCCGGCCCTGTCTGGTGGGTCACCAAGACCTTCAGGTCACTGGACAGCTTGTAGATCCGGTTGACGGCCCCCAAGTAAATGTGCCCTGTCCTCTCATCCACCACCAGGTGGTTGAAGCCCTCAGCTGGCTCCCCTCGAAATGTGATGAAAGATCGCTTCTGGGATGGCGGGGGTGGCTGCCGGGGGAGCAGAGTGGAGGAGCCCATCCCTACCATGAGGAGATGGGACAGCAGGCAAGTCCAGTTCCAAGGCATGGCTTTCATTGCAGACACGGGTCCTCACGGCACAGCAGCACGGGCAGAGCGTCCTCCTGGGAGGGCCAGGACTCAGGGGTGGAGGCTCCCTATGGGGGAGAGGAAAGATGTGATGCTGGGTGACAACAGCAGCAGCTTAGTTTCACCCCAGAGCTTGTCTGGGGGACCCTCAAATTATTCTGCACAGACCGAGACAGAGAACTGTGCTGGAGGAAGCTAGAAGCCAAGGGCCGTGGCTGCCACAGGTGTGTGGGACAGCCAGAGCTGGGTGGCAGCAGCCACAGGAGGGCGCCACAGTAATAATAAGAGTAATAATGATTGTGATGGTAATAATTATTAGTAGTGGTGATGATGATGATGATGATGATGATGATGATAAACAGCCATTGCCTGCCGAGTGCCTGACTGTTAGTCGCTGTCCAGCACCTTCCAGAGACAAAACTCAGTCTTAAACTTCATCTTAACAAACCTCTCATCATTGGGATCTTTCGTCTGCCTCCCTAGATCTTTGTTCACTACCCTTCTCCGCACCTGGGAGGCTGACCTGTGTAGACCGTACACCTGCAGAGGATGGGAGGAGTGGAGCTGGGCTGCATGCACTGGCTGTGCAGGTTCCATGCAGTGCCCTAGTCGGGCCTCTCCACGTGGCATCTCCATCTCCATCATGACCCACCTCCTGCCCACCTCCATGTGGCCCCAGAGGAGATAATAGGGTCTCACTGTCCCTTCCACCGAATACTTCCTGCCTCTCAAGGAGCCACGCCTTTGTCAAGAGCCCCT